AGTGATAGCATCATAAATTAGAAAACTCCATATATCAAAAGACAAAAGAGGGAGAGCATGTCAACAAAAATCCACCAAAACCAGCCGATCAACAAACTCAAGCAAACCATTGGGTAACAGTATTTTCCCCTTTGACTAACATCAATATTAACTTCTTAGCCAATTCTACATTTTCTTCAATATAAATGGCAGACCAGGTAAAAATGATAAAAACAGGAAAAACGGAGAAAGACAGAAAAATACCCCAAAAACTGAATACGTAGAAACTCCATCTCCCACAACTCTTTGACATTCCGTCTTGACCAGGGTAAAATCCTCCCCCTTCTTGCTCTGACTCGCCTGACCGTGCACAATCTCGGGTCTCTCAATCTTCTCATTGGCCAATTCTCGCTTCAGCAGCACCGAGAGCGGAACCGTCTGATGATTCTCATTCTTGTTGGACATTGTTCCCCCACACCCAAACACCTCAACACAGTCTCAATATCCTCCTCCTCCTACAACCTCTAATCTTCCATCTCCGATTCTCAAACCAAATCCTGCAAAACAAAAGACAGCAAAAATAAACGCACGTAAATCAAACGCTGCGTTTCGCGCATTCTCCAATCTAATAATCGATCTCGTTAATCTTAATAAGAAATCGTCGACATCAGTGGCTAAAACGGCCACGACGACAACGAAATCAGCGAGATCTTCAACGAAACGGCACTCACAAAAACGCATCAAGCGATTTTTATCATCTTAAAAATCGTAACAGCAAATGAAGAGACAGTTAAACAATAGCAATGTCGATATGAACACGAATTCGAGAAAGGAAAAGAGAAGAAAAGAAAAGAAAAATTACAGGGAAGAGGGAATGATTAGCAAATGGCAAATGGTGATTACGCGCGAAGAAGATGAGCGTAAGGCGCGAGGAAGACGAAGGTGGTGGAGGTGAGTCGCTCTGATCGAGAAACGCGGATCCCGGCGCCCTGCAGAAATTCCATTCTCTTCAAAAGGAAGAGAGAAAGAGAAAAAAAGAGAGCGAATATATGAAATGAAAAAGCGCAAATGAAGCTGTTCTTCTCCTTTTCTTTCTTCTTTTTAAGAAAAAAAGGAAAGAAACAAATTTAATTAAAATAAATTACTAAATTACCAAATTTCCTGGCGCTGACGTGGCAAAAAACGCGCCGTTTCTCTTTTCGGCGCTCCGAGCCGCGTTTGACGTTGTTGTAGCAAGCCGTTTGACTTGTATGGTGCGCAAGAGTCAATAGCAAAATGACGTGTTCGTGACTTCTTCATGGATCTCTCTCTAATTCTGTGTGGGCCCACAATGCGGTATGGGCTCCAGTGGGCCCCTTGATTGTAAGGAATCTGATGTGGTCGACCAGTTAGGACAAAACGTAATGTGATTTTTTTTAAAGCAAAGAGGAGACCTCAACTTCAGTGAGGACTCGGTCAAGCAAAACAACCCCTCACGGACCGGAGGACAAGCAAAAAATCATAAAAGTGAAAAATAAATAAACAATTTACACAATGGATGATTTAGCCGCAGTACGGGATTGTAGCTTAAGTGAGAATTTACATAATGAATATTTTAGTCTGTAATTAAATTATTACGAGCAATTACTTATACACCAAAATTATAAGTTCGAATCTCTTTCTTTCAATATCGCTCACTTAAATGAAAAATAAAAGACGCTTGAGCTGTGTACTTTAATAAATGGTTTGTTTACATCAAGTTATTTTTTTATATTGGTTGGAAAAAAAAAAAAACTTTTCTTACAGAAATATCCATCGTTCACCGAGTATAAGCAATAAGCACTACGTTAATGTCACGTAGTTGAACATAGATGAGACATAGAACCATCTGATTTGATTCGTTTTTAATAGTGATTTTGATTAAATGTGGGGCCCATAGGGCCCGGGCCCACGGACACATTTATTTCGGGGCACCACTTTTTTGCTTGAAACCTAACCCCTTGTCCTCCACCTGGAGAGTGCGGAATTCTCGGCGCCAATTATCTAAACAACCAACTCAGCGTTAGTGAAGTCAATTAATCAGTCGCGCTAATTAAATATTAATGAGCGGCTCAGAAGCTCGAAAGGCTCGGGATTTCAATGGCTCATCGACTTGGTCTGGTCTGTGACCCCACCCAGGGTGACCCCACCGAAATTCACATAAAATAGGCAGTGCTGTAAACAATCAGAGCTCGTTCATTCATATTCAATATTCATACATACATGACATGTCACAGGCGTAGAAGACATGTTCGATTTATTTGCTTTTTTGCAAGCTGGAAAGGCTAAAAGCCCTTTTGGCAAGCAAAGTAGTATTGTGCGTCCATTTGTCTGTCCCGCAAGAAAAATATATAAAAACAACAAAAAAAAACCTTCACCCACGGCAACAGCTCACCACTTGGCTTAGTTTAGTCATTGCTTGCCCATGTTGAAGAATTGGATTAAAAACAGAAAATAAATAAATAAATAATATATATATGATGTGAAATGGGAAAAAATCTTGGCTTTAAGGAAAAATGGGGTGTGCTGTGATTGGCAATGAAGTCAATTGCTTGTATTGATTGCTATTGAAAAGTTTTAGGCTCTGAATACCCACATGCCCATAACATGCCATATAGCTGTCTTTCTTTTTATGAATACATGGAGAAAAGGGGGAAATTAAAGATAAGAATTAGCTCCTGTCCATTCATATTTGCTCATCATGTGTTCATACATATCCCTAGAGTGACACAAAATATCATTGGGGATGATTGACTCATCTGCTCAAACTACAACTGTCCATAGAACCTGAAATTGGTATCTATGTAGAATTTCCAGTTAAACAAAACATGTACCTCATGGCTAGTATCAGCCCATGAACGCGTGTGCGACTGACCTCAACATAAGTCTTATCTCAAGACAAACTGTTTTACCTGTAAAAGGTAAAACGGTTGAGTGAGAAAAGGGAAATACAAAGAAGGGAGGGAGGAGATAGGAGGATTAAACAAGGAAGAAAGCCATTCGAAGACAAAATAGGATACATATGGATTTTGGAAAGAGACCTATAAACCACAATTTGGTTCACTAACGTGAAGGCCACTTTGGTGCATTTGCATCACAGTTTCAGTCAAGCCAATACAAGGCACACGGTTTCTATGCGTACGCAAGTGGTTTCATTTATAGATAAAGACATCACATAGGCTCATGGCATACGTGGATCTTGATGGCTGAGCAATTCTGAGACCTCGCTGGACAAATATGTTGTTTTTATGCAATGTACATAGCCAAATTAGCTAGAATAGATGTGACCCACTCTGCACCCGAGTTCTCACTTATCCCAATCTGATCACAGCAGGACAGGCCATGTGCTTGGTAGAAATATTAAGAGAGTTTGAGACAGTATCTTAAGTATAGAATTTTGGGTTTCCATAAGTTGACTAGGTCAAGAGACAGAAACAAACCATATCATAAATTGTTATTTTTATGTTGGAGAAAAACAAGAAAGAAACAGTAAGTAAATTCAACCACTACAAGAATGATCTGAAATAAATTACCCAAGCTTCTGATCCTTGTGCCTGTTAGAGTGGTAGGTCTTTCCAGGCATCAATACTCCCTCAACAAAAACCTGTGAGAAATCATAACATCACTGACACTAGAGATTTGCAGCTTTTTTGGTTTTTGTCTTTTAATTTCAGAGGCCCAGAAGAACCCAACTCAAAAATACAATTTTTAATGCCATGGCCTGAGAAAGTGAGAATACAAAAAGAAAGCAGAGTGGGATGAGAGCTGTCTTGAACTAAGTTTTGAGGGAGACACGTCGATTGAGAGAGATAGGTGAAGAGGGAAAATCTGAGGCAGATTGGGTGCTTCCATTTTCTTCCTGTTTTCCTCCACCAAACACTGCTGAAAATAGCTCTCGTATGATAACTTAGAGTTAGCCGCCACCATTTTTCCCGAGAACCAAACGGAAGATCTCTGTCTCTTCTTCTATTTTTCTTTGGATGGAAGAAAGAAGGGAAATGGAGGCGAAAGAAAAATTAAAAACCCTCTTTGGTAGTCGACCGTTAAGTTCCTTTCCACTGCATTGAGTAATGGAGGCATCACAGTTGGAAGCGGATTAGTCAGCAGCAGACATTCTTTTTTCTTTTTGTTAATTATTCATTTTCATGTATTACCCTTTTTTTTTCTTTCAATACAAGCGATAGTCAAAACTATAAGGAATGAGAATTTCTATATATTATCTTTATCCTCAAACTGATTACGTGCACTTAGTTTTTGCTTTAACTGCTGTAAAACTGATGCTAGAGCACTCATCAATTAATTATCATCAAATCTCAGAGGGTTCAAATTATAACTTTCAAAATTTACGTCTGTAGTGGCCTATTAACTTGTAAAACTGGTGAAATGTGTTAATGCCGCCGGAATTTGTGACAGGTTATTTGAATTTTGAAAAAGCAAAGCTGTGATTGGCATGAAGTCAATTGCTCATTTGCTTGTCCTCGTTGCCAGGTTCTGAAGCACACGAATCATCTAAAATAGACAACATATATTCGTATTTGATCATGACTTCAAATTTTTTGAGGTAAACAACGAAGAAAGCCATTGCAAGACAAAATAGGTTGCTTCTGGAATTTTGAAAGAGACCTAAAAACCATAAGCTTGTTCACTTACGTGAAAAGCAACTTCGTGCCAATGCATCCCAGCATGTCAATCAAGCCATTACAACATGCATTGTTACATTATAAACAGAGACGGATGCATGATCTTGTGCCCTCATTTGTGTTCCGTTGTATACGAAGGTTATTTCGGTTAGTAGCTGCCCTTTACTTATGGGTTCATATAAAGACATCACATATGGTCCCAGGAAGCTCGCATTAATAAATTACAGTTTTGTATCCTCTCTTTTTTTTCACAGTAGAACACACCATGTCCTTGATATGTTGATAGAGTTTTAGACTATGTAGCGTATAGAGTTTGGGAAACCATAAGCCAAAGAGTGAAAGTATTATGACTTTGTGGTGAAAAGGAAAAGTCCTGCATATAGTGAATTGGGGTGTTGTGATTGGCAATTAAATCAATTACTTGCACTGATTGCCATTTGCAACGATAAAGTTTTAGGCTTTGAACCCACATGCTCATAACATGCAATATAGTTGTCCTAGCTGTCCTCTCCACTCATATATCTCTTCAGGGACACCAGTGCGAATTAGCATCAATGTAGTGTTTTCTATTAGACAAAACATGTACCTTTCTAGGAACAAATAGAGCTCACTGCAAAACATATGCAAGTCTTATCCCAATCCCCAAACTTCTTTTTACCTGCAAAAAATGAAAGGGTTGTAAGAGAATGGGAAATGAGAGAGATGAGAGAATCAAGATCAACAAAATCTCTACAAGGAAGAAAACCCATTTGAAGACAAAATAGGCCGCTTAGGGATTTTTGAAAGAGACCTATCAACCAAAAATTCGTTCACTTGTCACTTGTGAAGGCAACTTTGTGTACTCGCATCACAGTATGTCAGTCAAGCCAATAGAAGCTACATGTTTTCTACATAAATACAGACAGATGCATGCCCTATGCCCTCATTTGTGGTCCTTAGCCTACGCAAGTTGTTTTATTTATAGATGTAGTAACTAACTGCCACTCTACATGTGATCATGGCAGACGTATATCTTGAAGGCCGAGTAATTCTGATACTAAATCTGGTCTCAGGTAGATAAGCTCTTGGCAATATTGTTCCATTTTACTTCAGCAGAACAAGCTATGTGCTTTACAGAATACTTAAAGAGTTTGAGACAATATCTTAAGTATAGAATTTCTGTATCCATAAGTAATTCTATGACTAGGTCAAGGCACAAAACCCAGATCATAAATTGTTATTTTCATGTTGGAGAAAAATAAGAGAGAAACAATAAATAAATTCAACCTCTACAAGAATGATCAGAAACCAATTACCTAAGCTGATCCAGCTGAGCTGCCTTCGGATCTTTTTACTCTTACAATGTACACCTAAACAGACAACATAATCAATGAAATTATATAAAATAAAAAATAAAATAAAAGTCATGTATCCCTGAGCCCCCAAATCAAAATGTGATAATAATCAATCACCTTAAATGCAGTAGGCCGGATCAATTGAAAAACCAATGCATCCCCTTCCACCAAATCATGAGCAAATGCAAATTCTTTCCATCCAGCAGAGAGTCCAAATCTACCAATGTCATAACTTCATCACCCTTTGAGAGGTTCTCCATGCAGAACTGTCTTTTAAGACACTGTTGCCAAAATCAGATAGACAAATTACTCCTTACAATTACACTCTACTGGTTCACCAACTTGACTTGCTTAATGTTTTACCAGAAAGAATCCACCACTGATATAAGATGGGATTATCGTTTTCACAATGGTCGGGTTATCGGATCCCAAACCCGACACTAATTCCTGGGCTTCATGCAATGCGGCAGCTCTGGCTTCATCTGAAGCAGAAGCGTTTGTTCGGTTCCACAAACCCTTCTGCCAACTAGAGCGGTAAGACCTTCTGGGCATTCTTACTCGTTCATCAAAAACCTGTGAAAAATCAGAACATCACCAAAGATTGCAACTTTCTTTTTTCTTTTTTCTTCATTCGGAAGACATAAAGATTGAAACTTTGAACAATTAGTAGAGGGAAAAATGAAATCGGCCCACCTCTTTGTAAACCGGGGAAGAATGATTCGAGACGCAAGTGGATCTCCGGACCTGAACAAGATGCTTCTCGAACGTACGAGGCCTCGCGAGCCCCACCTGAGAAAGTGATCGTACAAGAGAGAGCAGAGTGAGAGATGTTTTGAGAGAGAGAGAGAGAGAGAGAGAGAGAGAGAGAGAGAGAGGTGATGAGGGAAGGAGGGGTTGGCGTACAGGGGCTGGATGAGCCAGCTGGGCAAGCTGAGGCAGATTGAGTGCTGCCATTTTCTTCCTATTTTCCTCCAAGCTCTGCTGCCGAGACTCCTCGTATAACAACTTGGGCTTGGCCATCACCATTTTCCCAAGAACCAAGCAGAGAATTGTGGAGGGAGAAAAAATAAATTTAAGCAAGTAAAATTTTTCGATTTTCCGATGATAATAAATATTTTATTTCATAAACATGATGAAAGATTTGGGCTGGGCTGCACAATTTGGCCCAACATTCCACTTTGTGACTTTGAACATGGTCTATTGGTCCGGTAACTGGTAAAAGTGGTGAAATGCATACAGAATTTGACTGCCTCGTTTCATGGTCTGCATATATAATCAACACTGAAGCTGAAGCCTAGCTTACGGTATGAGAAATTACAAGCTTTTCTTCAGATATATATGATCATTTGTGAATCCATAAGCCGAGGGTCAAGAGAGTACATAAGAAATATGCATTTACAATTCGAAGAAAATGTAATTTGTGGTCAATGCGTAAGCTCTACAAGAATGATCACAAAACAATCGCCAACATTGACCCAACTTCACAATAGTTAAAGCTTGTTGCCATCTTCAGGCCTTCCCACCCTTAAAATGTACACCTGAAAAGACAATACAAGTACATAAGATTAAAAGTAAAACCGGAGGAGGAAGGTCTTAATAAATGTAGGAAATGGTATGCATCTTCATAATTTACCTTGAATGCTGTACGGCGAATCAACTGAAAAACCAATGCATCCCCATCAACCAAATCATGAGCAACTGCAAATCCCTTCCATCCACCACTGAGTCCTGTCTTCCGGGCCAAGTATATTGTCGGGTACTCGTCGCCATCTTCATCTATCAATGTCATAACTTCATCACCCTTTGGGAGGTGCTCCTTGCAGAACTGGACTTGAAGACCCTGTTGCCAAAATTAGATAGAGTCATTACTAGTTGCCATCTACTGTTGAATCAAATTGACTATTCCTACATAGTTACACAATATGAAGCAGCACACTGTAACCAAAAACATGAAGCAGTACGTTGCCCTATAACATTAACAATATGAAGCAGTACATTGCCATAGAAAAACTTAGTTTACAATTTGGAACCGGATAGAACATCCATTAAGGAGTAAATTGGTCTTTCAATTGGTTATGGAGCAGTACATTGCACAAATAAAGTAAACTACAGTGTTCAAAACATGTGGGATTTTAGCAAAACAGACAATGCCACACCAAAAGAACACAGAAAAGTAACATGATAAAGTGAAAAAGGTGAGATTGTGAGCAAATAAAGCGACTTGATTACCAGCCAGAATCCACCAGAAACATGAGATGGGAGCATTGTTTTTACAAAGATCGGGTGATCGGATCCCAAACCAGACTCTAAATTCTCAGCTCTCTCCATGGCTTCAGCTCTGGCTTCATCCGAAGCATATACCCGGTTCGACAAATCCCTGTGCCTACTAGAGTAGGACTTTCTGGGTATCATCACTCGATCAACAACAACCTGTCACAAATTGTAAGATCACAAAAGATTGAAACTTTCATATGTTTTTTAAAAAACAAAAACTTTGAACAAGTAGTGGAGGGAAAATGAAAGAACCCACTTCTTTGTAAACAGGGGTAGGCAGGTTTGCGACGCGAGAGGACCTCCTCACCACAACCATCTGCTTCTCGACGGTACGAGGCTTCGTCCGCTTCATCTGAGAATGAAAGATAAAGCAGAGTGAGATGTTTTTGCATAATGGAGATAGGTGCTGAGAGAAGGAGGGGTTTAGGGTTTAGGCTTACTTACAGGGGAGGGTTTGGGAGAAGATGTGGTTTTAAGAGCCTGAGCAAGCTGAGGCAGATTCAGTGCTTCCATTCTCTTCTTGTTTTCCTCCAATCTCTGCCTACGAGACTCCTCGTAGGACAGCTTGGACTTGGCCATCACTATTTTCCCCATAACCAAGCAGAAATATTTCTGTCTCTCTCTGTCTCTGATTTTTGTTTCAGTTTTGAGTGGAAGAAGGAAGGAAAATGGTGGCAAAGTCTACATTTAAAATAACCCCCTTGCGAGTCGACCGTTAAGTTCCCACTGGTTTGAGAAATAGACGAATCACATTTTGAAGTTTATTATTATTATTATTATCCTTAAATTATGCTTGTGACTTGTCATGGACGTAGTTTTATCCTTTTACTGCTGTAGCAGTCAATCGGTTGGCGTCAAATCGTATCAGACGATTCAAATTCAAACTTTCAAATTTACCCTCTCTAGTCCGGGTCTAGTAACTTGGTTCCACAAAAAAACGTAATATTCCGGTAACTTGTAAAACTGCTGGAAGAACGATTGTAAAGAATTGGGGTGGCTGTGATTGCCATTTTCAATGGAAAGACCTCAGGTTCTGAAGCACATATAGCTGTCTTGGTTCTTTTTTCTTTTTCACATAAAATTGTTTTTGTTTATTTTTCACAAAACAACATGTACAAAGAACCAGAACTGGCATACATATATATATATAGATGGTGGTTTTGCAATTATTTCAATCAAGCCTTTCTTTTGATATGATTGTTTAACCTATCTCAATCTCACAGCAGAAGGAACCATGTGATTGGTATGTCAATAGAGTTTTAGACAATATCTAGCGTATGGAATTTGGAATCCATAAGCCAAAGGGTAAATCTATGACTAGGTCAAGGAAGTACATAAGAAATGTACATTTACAATTCTTAGTGCCATTCGTGGTCTAAATGACGACGAAGCGATAGAAAATCAGGTCACAAATTGCTATTTCTTTGGTCAATGCATAAGCTGCAAAAGAAAGAGAGAACCAATACGTAAATTCTACCTCTCTCCAAGAATGATCACAAAACAATCCCCAACATTGAGCCAAAAGTTCAATAGTAATCTTGTTGCCCTCTTAAGTTCTTTCCACCCTTATAATGTACACCTGAAATGATGATACAAGCACATAAAGTCAAAAATAGAAACTGAAAGCTGAAAACAAAGTAATGGGATGGTCTGATAAACGCAGCACATGATTCGTCTGGCACTTTTCTAGTTAGAATAATTTGTATCTGTTGAAGGCAATATACTTATTTCCACCATTGGCTCAAACACCATTTCTCATGTATCCCTGAGTCCCCAAATCAAAATTTAGCAATCAATCACCTTGAATGTTTTAGGCCGGATTAGTTGAAAAACCAATGCATCCCCATCCACCAATTCATGCGCAATTGCAAACCCTCTCCACCCACCACTGAGTCCTCGTTTATTGGCCAAGTATACAGTCTGGTACTCGTCGCCATCTTCATCTACCAATATCACAGATTCATCGCGCTTTGGGAGGTTCTTGTTGCAGAAATGGATTGGAAGACCCTGTTGCCAAAATTAGACACAACAATTACAAGTACCCCTCTACTGGTGAATCAAATTGACTCTTCAAGCACAATATGAAGCAGGCAGCATATCACATAGATAACGGGTGATCAGCATAATGGGATCCCTCTAACCAGACCTGGCTAATCAAGTAGGTGATAACCATTCACCTAGAAAGACATAGTTTACAATTTCGAATATGACAGAACATCCATTACAGAGTAAATGGGTCCTTAAATCAGTTACAGAGCAGGGCAGGTACGAGATTATGGCCATTATAGAAGCCAAACAGGATGAATATGCTGTTCAAAATCATGTGCCCTTTTGACAAACAATATCATGCTCATACCAATACATAAGAAGCATACAATGGAAACGTGACATTTTGAGCATCTAAAGAAAAGCGACTTGTTTACCAGCCAGAATCCACCAGTGACATGTGATTGGAGCATGGGTTTCACAAAGGTCCGGTGATCGGATCCCAAACCCGACTCTAATTCCTCGGCTCTCTCTGTCGCCTCAGCTCTTGCTTCATCTGAAGCATATACCCGGTTCGAAAAATCCCTATGCTTCGAATTAGAATGCCTTCTGGGCATCCTCAATGGATCCACAGCAATCTGTCACAATTCATAACATCACTAAAGATTTTAACTTCGTTACTCAAAACCCAAAAAGAAAGAAACTTTGAACAATTACTAGATGGAAAATGAAAGAACCCACTTCTTTGTAAACAGGGGTAGGCAGGTTTGCGACGCGAGAGGACCTCCTCACCACAACCATCTGCTTCTCGACTGTCTGAGGCTTTGCTCGCTTCATCTGAGAATGGAAGATAAAGCAGAGTGAGATGTTTTTGCATAACAGAGATAGATGCTGAGAGAAGGAGGGGTTTAAGGTTTAGGCTTACTTACAGGGGAGGGTTTAGGAAAGGATGGGGCTTTTAGAACCTGAGCAAGCTGGGGCAGATTCAGTGCCTCCATTCTCTTCTTGTTTTCTTCCATCCTCTGCCGTCGAGACTCCTCGTATGACAACTTGGCGGCCACCATTTTTCCCTAGAACCAAACGGAAAATTTCTCCTATCTCTCTTGCTCTCTAGTTTTTTTTGTTTTTTTGTTTTTGTTTTTGGTGGAGGAAGGAAAGTGAAATGGTGGCAAAGTCCTTATTTAAAACACCCTCCTTCCTATCGGTCAGCAGCAGCAATTCATTGTAATGTTCTATTTTCGGTGAAAAGATTCATTGTATTTTTATTTCCATGTACAGTTCCTATCATTTAAAATAAATTATGCTTATTAATTGCGAATTCGTGATACATCAATCAAAGGGCCTGCTTGCTTGTGTTCCTTTCATTGCTGTACTGTCCGACTCAGTCAATTAGCTTCAAATCCGATCCAACGGGTCAAATTCAAATTTTCAAAATTTACCGCTGTTGCAATTGTTTTGAGCTGCCCAATGATTTTGTAACTTCTACAACTGGTGAAACTGTTTTTGAGAATAGGTGAATCGCTTATGTAACTAAGCAATTTTTGAACGTCAATGCATGTGAAACTCACGACATATTAAGGGTCAGAATTCATCCACGTGCACATAAACTACCAATGGTGGCATCATTTCACCACGACGAATACATGGAATGCATGCTTATTGAAAGAGAAGTTTACACACTAAAAACACCCAACTTGATATCAATAAACTGATGATCTTTCTTTAGCGCCACATCCCATCAAATTGAAAATGTTTACTAGTTAACTGGAGTCACATAAAGCAAA